GGCTTTGGTCGGATGAAGTTTCACGACTCAGCATCTTCCTGCACAACTCCTCCTCACCACGAGCTCCTAACCCGAAATCAGTTTCTGCAAAAGGCACAATGGTCAGGGATTGCCGGTGGCGCGGAACGATTTTCATGCTCTCCAGCTTGGAGGGCGAGGGCTGATTAGTGCTCTGTCTTTGTCAATCTTTTGCTTCTCGGCCTTCATGTGCGACTTCTGGCGGATCCTCAGTCAACCACGTCGAGAGGATTACACTGCCGCTTGCAAAGTTTTAGGCTCTCTGTGGGTCCTTGGGTTTAGGGGTCGACTTGTGCCGGTGGATCTCCCGGGCAAAAGCCCCCTGAACCTTCCCACTAGGGGCAGAGCTAGCGGCATAGCCTCCAAACCCCCAAATAAACATCATACTTGTACCCACAAAGCTCGCCTTCCAGTTCTCAACTGCGGCCAAGGGGGCCAGAGGTAAGTCGACTCGGTCTGGATGTCGACAAGGGTCTTCTCTATGGATTTGACATGGTCCTGGCATAAATCTGGCATTCCCCACAATCCCTAAAGCGAACCAAGAAGTGGAAGACAAAGCAATGCAATTAAACGCGGTACACCCCTCAAGACTCCTCCATGGTCGTCAGATGCTGTGGCTGCAGATGTGTCTCGTTCCCCTTGCCCACAGCGAAGGTCACCATCTTCTCCTTTAGAAGGGACCCAGGTTTGAGGCCGGATGCAAACACCTGTTGCCATGCGTGTGCGAGGTATGTAAGCGGGCAAGCATTTCACTACACGCACGGCATGACCCCTCGTGTCGGATCAGTAGTAGATGCCTGCCTGCAAGGAGATATTGCCCTACACAGCTTTAAGGCAACACGTGGACAGTTTTCCTATCAAGGGCGATAGTAGGAAGCTCCTCCATCCATCTGTGGTTGCTGACCTCAGGCTGGGAATGTCTCAGGAAGTCAAGAGGGAGGGTAGGGCGTGACTGTTTACAGAGCAGAGAGAACCCTAAACGCTGCAATCTACCCCTGCACTACGGACCAAAATGCCCCGGAAACCAACCCGTTAAACAAACCTCAATGGCCTTGACACTTAAATGGCACAGTTTCAACCTGGAACGTGCCTTGGTACCTGGAACCTACGTCAGATGCCCACACCTGCACTGGACTCCAGGGTTCAGGGCTTAGGGACCTCCAGCATGCTGGTCGTTGAAGATCTGGTCTGTGTCAAGCAAAGTTTATGGTTTTGTGGGCCTGGGACCTGGATAGAAATTTAGGGCATAAGTTCACTTTGAAGCAATCCAACTCATCAACATGAGGAGACGCAAGTTGGAATTTCTCACAGTGTAGGCTCCACATGAAAAGCATCGAGTCATGTAGGATATTCCTCTGAGGTTATGTGTTGAAATTTTCATGAGCTGCTCATAAATTCCCAAGTCCGGAGAAACGTAGCGGGTGAGCTCTCTAGTCTTGGCGTCGGGCGATAAAGGTATAGGTGCCGCTCTTCTTCGCCATGAAGTGAAACAAGCCCTCTGCCTGCATATTGAGAGGAGATGCCAAAAGGGTGCATGATAAGTACTTCAGATTTAGTAGGACCATGGATGCTCCGACTGCAAGTACAGTGTCTTCAAAGTCCTTCAGCATGCTTCCCCGTTTGGCTCCCCCCAAAACCGCCTGATCTTTCTTCTCCTCAGGGGACTTTGGAAACACGCAGCGTGGAAGCAAGACTTCGCCATGCACAGACTTGTAGGTCACAGCCCTGGGCAAAGTGCCGCATCTGCTTGGGCATCTGTATTGGGCTCCAGGCAACAGGTCAAAGAGTCCACAACACCAAAAAGCCTTCAACCGGAATTTCTAAGGCTCCAAACACCGTATCCTACACCCCACATGCTCTAAAATATGTACCGGCCCGAGAGTAACTGCCAAGGCTCGAAAATGACGTTGCCCTTGGGGTCCGTGATGCTGAACCTGGATTGCACATGTTGAAGCCAGCCAGAATCAAACGTATAATCATATATATATATATACATACATACATACATACACAAATATCTACATATTGTATGAGCCTTGCTGTGACGGATCAAGTCTTGGGAGTTTCAGCCTAGGCTTGCCTCAGGGAGCGTGTCTTTTGGATAGCTTTTGGGGGATAGATGGTCATGGAGGTTTAAGGTTGCAGGAAGTCTTAGGGTTAGAACCCGGTGAAATGATTTTGTCGCTCCATATACCCGTCAGTTTATAGCCCCCTCCAGAAACTACAACCATCTCCCACCATTCTCTTACAGAAGTTTGGCGGCTTGAAGCTTAACCAAGTGATGGTGGCAATTTCCCGGACGACATGACCACGCTTCACAGGACCACCGAATAAAAGTGCGTCACGATAGTGAAAGTCTACACACGCACACACACACACACACACACACACACGCTCCAGCGTCTGAGCCCTCAGCTCTACCGTGGAGGTCTCCTGGGAAGCCAGTGGTGGCAGCAAGCAAAGCTACTTCAGGGGTTGGATCTGCGTTGGGTTCATACTCCGATTTCACAAGCCCTGTCGGTACACCAAGTTATAGCCTAGTCACTGCGATCAAATCTGCAGTCAGAATTCTTCAGAAGATCGAGATTGACAACAAGCAGACTACATCAATCATCTGCGTTTTCAAACGAAAAGAAAAGGCAAGCAGGACGTCGCTGTTGTGCTGGTTCTGCCTTAGGACAGGTGTGCAGGCCCTCAAACAGGCACCTGCAGAACGGAAGCGTCAAGATTCAACTGTACCTCACCGGCAATAGAGTGTGCTTACGAAGACAAGCCCGAGTGTCGGGAGTTAAAGCCCTTCCCCGACGGCCTGTTCTGCATCCTCACTTCTGCAACACCATGTGAATCTGTATGGTCAATATCGAACCCGCAGAAACATCATAACCATCGTCGTCGTCATAATCATCCTGACTAAACCTGGAGTCACCACCACCGTCCTCATGGTCCCTGTCATGTCTATCCTGCAACGTCCTGTGCAGCAACTGGAAACGAACGAGACATGCGAATGCCAAACTGCATTAAATACCTACGTGCATGCGTGGGACTGTGGATACGAGCACTGTTTGCAATGGAGGCCCTCACCCCTGGCGAACCTCCGATGCGGAGGCGAAGAAGCCGCCGCGGATGAGGACCGGTGGGGAGTTCTCCGGGATGTCCTTCATGCTTGATCAACAGTTCTGCCTATGTACCAAACAGGACGCTGTGCCCTGCTTTTCTGGAGATGATCTATGCTATCCACCATCCCACTCAAATCTTCTAGTTGCGACCTCAAGCATGAACCTCCCAGCGGCCTCCAAACCCTTAGCCCAAGACTCGATCGATGGATGCAACACTGCAGGCCGGACTAAACCCTAAGCTCTCGTGAAAGCTGAAATGCACATCCTAAGCACACAAGCCTTTACGCCCCAGGCAAGCCCTCCACTCTCAAATCCTCAGCTAAGTATTGGAGGGAGGTCGAACATCGGGGAGTGCTTAGGGAGGGCGGCTGTAAGGGCCTCTACGACAAGGTTCATATTCATGTAGGTCAGGGCCTTCAACTTTTCTTGATAATGAAACTACTGCAACAGAATCATACCACGGCACTGAACCAGTCGTATTAGCCAGGACGCCACCCTCCGCCCTGTGTACGGCCCTTTCCCCGACTTTGCCTGAAGTCCTGTACACGAAAATTTAAGCAACCAACCCCCAAACCCTCGTCCCAAAACCCTTATAGACATAGCCCATGAACCCTAAAGTATTTCTGACCCCAAATGATAGATCCCCAAACCCGGAGAAAAAACCCTAACAGCCCAAGAAGCATCCCTGACAAAAGCAAACAAAATTTGTGAAACCCCGAACTTTAACCCACCACCAAAATAAACAGTTCAGAACCCAGGTGAAACCCCATCTTAGCCCTATTAAAGCTCAATCTCAAGCCCTGCTCGTGGCCTCATAAAAGAACTCATCACTCCGGCCCGGCAGTGGGAATGTCAGAAGGAGCTCTGGGGTAAAGCCCTGACTGCGAGATCTGGGTTTTGGGTTTAAGGGTCTAGGGTCCTGCGTTTCTTTTCCATGGCGTCTTAGGATGTCTTATGTCTTGGGTCCTGCGTGTAGGGGAGTGCCTTGGCTTCAAGTGGGACCTAGGACGCTTACAGTCCGGCCAGAGGTCCCTATCCTGGGGTGCTCCGGATCAGCATACTGCTCTACATCTGAGCGGGTTTCTGCTGGAGCTCTTGAAGATCTGGGCGGGAGCTTTCGGACTTCACGGCAGGAATGGCGTTTGGGGTTCGATCTGAGTTGAGGTTCTCGTCAAAGTATAGGATGGGCCCCAAGTGACCGAATCCAGTTTGTAAATGGATCCGACATGGATTAATCTTCAGATGCTGCTGTTCAGAAGGCGAACACTTGAGCAAGAGCCACCGCCTTGGATTGATGCCTGAGGTTGCGCGTTGAGGAGAAACTGCAGACTCAAAGGTCGGCCGGGCTTCGGTGCAGCGCCAAGCCCTAAACTTCAATCACAACTCTTCCACGCCTTATGCCTTATGCAGTGCCCCATACAAGTCTGCTCGCCTTGGAAAAGAATTAGAGGAGCTTCGACTTTCAGGGATTTTTTCATTGAGGGTTCAAGGCTTCTCGGGTTTTCGGGCGGCCGCAAGGGAGCCTCCATGTGCTTGTCCCACTCTTCCACGAGACCTCCTCCAGCCTCCTCGGTCTGGCTTCTTCTTGACTGTACTGTGGCGCGTGCTGGCGAAGTCTTGACGGCACGCCATCCGAATTGGGCCCAAAGTCTTGCGAAAAGCCGACTCGTTTACCTCAGCAAACCTGAGGCTGTGTATTTTGGGCGAACAAGCAGATTGCGACCAATTTGACCCCACGCTCTCGCCTAGAATCTTCCAAAAGACAACAGCGAAAAGAGGAGGTCTGAATGCCTAAACCAAAAATCGAAAGACCCTAGTTGATCAAGCTCCCATTAATGCGGGTAATCACTGCAAACATTTGTGGTGAGATTGAGGAAGACTCAATTTGGGGGCTTTTGCTTGCTCCCAAAAACTCTTTGCACGAGATGGCTAGCGCTTTTCGCCCAAGGCACGTCATCCTTCGCCGCCTGTGGGGCAGGAGCTGAGGGCTAAGACGCCACGGACCAATTTAGCACAGGATGGTGCATAAGGGATCGGTAGGAAGGCAAACGCGTTTCCAACCTGGATGTTGAAGTTCTACTGTTCTAGAACGAACGTGCTTCGGGTTGTTCGATTTGTGACTCATGTCAGCAGTCCAGGCGCAATCTACAGGTATCTCCGTCTAAGTTAAGTGCGTGTGGGTGAGGCTGCAGGCTGTAGAGATAACGACGAAACACAAGTGCTGTCATTACTTATGCCGACTTATTCGGATGCAGTCGCTTGTACGGCCAACTGCTTCAGCGATCTTGCTGTAAGTCTTACTGGTGATGGCTGAAACTGGTTTGTGATTGTTGATACAACATTGGCTGTGAACCTTGCCATATTATGGATGAGTTCCTGCTAGCTCTGTTTAAGCTTTCCGAGGTTCAAAACCGGTGACTGGGCACTTCGAGTGCGAAGCCGCATTCCGCACCAAGATAAGCTGAATGTGCAGCTCTTGCATGTACGGTCTTAACACACATTTGGACTCGCATATCCCGGAACCATACAGGTCATCTTATCTAACTGAATCGCTTCCCCCGTCCCGAAACCCTGAACCTTAAATCCCAAAAACCTCCACTCCGGTGCACCCCAAGACTCTTACGCACATGGCAACCGCAAACTCGACACCCCTGAACCTCGGGTTTAGGGGAACCAAATTCCACAACCCTGAAAACAAAAACCTCAACACCCCAACAACACCCTAACCTCTAAATCCTAAGCTCCCCCACTTCCCGAACACTAAACCCCGAAGCCGTAAACGCACGAGGTCCTACGTTCCTACACGCCCAAGCCCTATAGAGCCTGAAAGATTGCAAGACGGACAATTAAGCGATATCACGACTTATATTTACGGCTTCCATATCCTATAAAACGCCTACAAGCACACCATAACCCCGGTATAAACATCCTGTAACACCCTTTTGGGACCCCTTCCGGTACCCCAAAACAAATCCCTGCAACAAGGCCTCTAAGGCGTCCAGGGCATCATTGGGGCCACTTCCCGCCGGCAGCTCGAAATCCTGCAGCCAACAGAAACTTTCAGAGTCGGAGATCTTTTGCATTTTGCTGATTCAGGGTTGAGGGGTTGGGGTAGAACCTAGGGTTTAGGGGCTTAGGCCTTATTAGGGTTTAGGATTTAGGGAGCCTTTGTACGGGCTAGAGGCGTGCATAAGTCTTGCAGGGGCTTCGGTGTGGTAGGGCTGCAAGGTTTCGGAGGTTAAGGATTGAAGCTTACTGGGTGCGACGGCTTGGTGCTTTGGGGCTTCATAAGCTTTAAGGAGGCTTCTTCAGACCCTGGCCTGCTCATGTCTTTCTCTGAGCCCTTACATTGCACCCGAAGGGCCTGAACCTGAAATCTGAGAGCTGTGCACGAACTAGGTATGTCAGAACTTCAGTACAGTCATCAGCGCCGCTAAACGAAAATGGCTGTACGTCTGGAACTAATCAAGCACCAGGCTAAATCAGCCCGAGAACATTCTCTACATCAAGGTCCGAAACCTGCTGCAGCATGAACCTCGCGCCAGCCGTGCATCTCACTCGGGGGCATGTGAGACTAGTTACACAACCAGGCTCAACTCTAAGTCGTCCACCCTAAGCCGCAAAACCAGCCTTTCATTTCTCCGCTAATGACTTTACCAAATGATTATTCTACCTCAGCTCAGAACTCAGTTCGCAAGGAGGCCGCTAGGGAATTCCACTTCTGTCCTGTTCGGCTCTCGCCACGCCTGCAGGGTCTCCGGCGAGAACGCCTCGAACATTGCAGGACTGGACCTATTGGCTTGCAACATCCTTGATAGGGGCCCGAAACAGGTTTGGGTCGTTGGGGCTCCAGAGGAATCTGGGTCATTGAAGGCTTTGAGCTTTCGGCCTGGGCTTTCTTGCGTGTAGTGCACCAGGCAGGCAACTTGGCTGAAGGGTGACATTTCGCGGATGCCCAAACCACTGCGATGTGAGGTGTATGGGCCATGTGCTTTGATCATGCCAACGCATTTTCGCTGGAACTCCTACCTCTCTGACTGAGGAACCTTTGACGAAGCTTTACAGACCAGACCTTGAGCTACAGGATGGCACCAAGTACGGAAACAAGTTCCTTGCCCTCTGCCATACGCCGCAAACTCTCGAGAACTGCACGAGCCCCCGACCGCAAGGCAAGAGGAGCAGAAACGCCCGAAGCATTGCCATGTCTCACCCAAAACAGTCCGTGCTAAGACTCTTCGAGATCTACACTTTCGGAGCTATACCATCAAGACTCCACGAACTCTGCACGCTTGAATACCAGGGTGTTGGAAGACGAGGCAAGCCCCCTTCTTGTTTGAAGGCCCCCCACATTGGCTGGAAGTCATGAGCCGGAAGCAGGGGCACAAAGGTCTCAAGGTTCAGTATTGGACGCATGAACATTGACGATAGCAACAAACAGCGAAACAGCAACAGAAGTGGAGAAGCGAACATTAGGATCCACCAGTCCGAAGGCCTGAAGGTGTAGGGACCGGCAGGAATTCTGAAGTCTCCGGCGTCCCCGCAAATTTATTGACCACAAAAGACAACACAACTCTCAAAATGAGGACTCCCTAGACTCCATATTCCTGGGCGAACGCAGATTCGAATAAACCCTAGACTCTAAACCCCACAAACCGCTGGACGTCCTCCTCCGACTCTCTTTTTGGGTTCCTGCCGAATGTCTTAATGCTTCGCCCCTTCACATTTGACGGGAGCGAGCTACTCGTGGAAACGTGGCCGTACAATCCTTGCTTCTCATTCCTGTATCTCTAGGGAATTGTAAGGACTAGAAGGGGCGTTGCGGAATAGGCGGTAAGGGATCCTAGAATGAGGTGGTGGAAACCCTTATGATTATGAATTCTCCCCTGCTCTAATTTCTTACTCGTCCATCGTTCCAGCGGGACTAAAGCGACTGAAGGCTCATCTGTGGGACTGTATAAGGGTTCTAGTACCACCAAAAACGTTAAAGGTTATTTACTCTGCTACTAAGGTTTTGAGTTGAAGAGTCAGCACCTGACCCAGGTCTCAGCTTGAAGTGTTCGAACCGGAGCCGAAAAGAAGCCGACTCTCCCCTAGGAAAGTCGAACTTATCGGAAACGGATCTTCGGGCCCATATAGGAGAGTACCTCGTGGAGTAAGCTCCGAGTCTTGAAGTTGAAGATATATAGGACCTGACTAAACCCTAAACCCTCAACTCTAAATGAACCCGAATTCTGCACCCTAAACCCAGCTGATGTTCTATCATCCCTCAAGCCGTAAACCTTGAAAGCCTAGGCAGGAAATCGGTGCGGCCACTTCCGATGTTCGCTGCACATACCAAGAGCAAGTCGGCCCTTCACCTATCGCATCCTTCGTTCTCTGGCGATCGCTTAGTTGTCGAGCATCATAAGGGAATTGATGGTGAACCTTTGGGATTATATAGGGATTGTAACCCAAAAAGTTTTAAAGCTACCTACTCTATTACCAAGATCATGAAGAGCAAACATGTTGCCAAAAAGAATGCAGTAGAGGTAAGTCCATGAACGACTGTAATCTGCATTCAGCAAGCGGTGGCAGGCATCGCAGCAGTAGTAGTATGTTGATGTAAAGGTTGTGCAGTCCATATGTGCCAGCGTCTCGAGTGTATGCATAGCTTGAGATCAAGCATCGCATGCCGACGGCAGAACTTTGATGAGTTACGTCCCTGCACTTTGTACACCCCAGCAGGTAGATGCAGCTTGAACTGTGTATAGAGACGTTTCAGAGTCTTGACATGTGCCTTTCGGTAAAACGCGCTCTTAAATTCGAAAGCTATGGCCCTCCGAGTCTTCCGTTCCAACCTGTGATCACTTCGCGAAGCATGAACCCGGAACGAGAAGTTCGTCAGGTTATGAGCCCAACCACGCGGAGTGGTTTGGGAGAAGGAGGCCTAGCTGAAGGTGTGCCTACGTATAGTGGCGTGGACTCAGGTGGAGCCCGAGGACAGCTACTGCACGGTGGGACACCGATGAATCGAGCTATGGCTGAAGGCTGTGGTTTTCCCAATGGTGTCGGTGGCCAAGGCGTCGTGGACGACCAGCTACCTCATGTGCCGGAGGGACGGCCCAGCACGACGGGCTCGGCTTCAAGGGAGCAAAGGCGTGGAAGTGATGTCTTGCCTGCAAGAGTTGCGGGAACAGCGGCCGGAGCTGTGGTTACGGGATTGGCTACGACGGAGGATGTTGGTGCGAATCTTCCCACCGGATCGGGCGCGAATGTCAACACCGGATCTGGCGCGAACGTCACCACCGGACCTGGCACGAATATTGACACCGGATCTGGCGCGAACGTACGAAGGTTCCAAGGCGAGACTTTGGGGTTGAGGACCAGATCGACTACTCAGCAAGCTAGAGGTCCCGAACAGCATGATATTGCAACCCCACCTTCGCAACCTACTACTTCGAGGCAGCAACCCCCAGATCTACAGCTACCAATGCAACAGGCTCCTGAACAACAGCTTCCCATGCAGCAAAGTACAGCCCGACTACCCCAAGGCTATCCTGGACCTCAACCAGAACCACAACCTCTACATTCGGCGGCCTCTGCTAACCCTTCGGCGGCCACTTTGATGTCGGGGTCTGACCGTCGAGGTCCCCAGCTGACTCAAAGGACGGCTTTGGTGACGGCTCTCCAGGCGAGGGCTGCTCGAATGGTCGCGGCAGAGGCAGTGAGTGAACATGATGCTATGGGTGCTGAGGAACCTGGAGAGACTGTGGAGTATGAGGGTGATCAGACGGTTTGGTTTGCTAGGTTCAAGGGGATGATCCAGCGAAGTTTGGAGCCGATGTTTGGGATGATGAGGCCTACCGGCTCGCCCAACTCGTGGTATTCCCAATCCCCTACCTGGTCTATTACGACACCAGTATTTCAGGTACCTGAACATCAGCCACCTGCCGCCTCCCGTGAACAACTACGCCCTCTACCTGCGCCTGCACCCGAACCTCGAGGTGATCAGTCGTCAACGGGGAGCATCCAGCCTGAGGTCGTGCAGGAGGAAGTGAGGCGTGCAGTACAACAAGCTATGCAGCAAAGGGACAACAAGGTGAACGATTTGCAACAAGAGAATTTGGAGCTGAAGCAGCTCCTGATGGCAATGATTGATGCCAACGCGGAGCCCAGGGGAGCTCAGGAAGGCTTGGGTCGTGCAGCGGGAGGTGTACCTGGCAATGGGGCGAGCTCTACTGTTGAACCAGGGCGAGCTGTAGGACTTCGTCTTCCTGAACAAGGGGATCCTGAGTTACATGCGGGGCATCCGGCGCTTGGTCCGAGAGCGCCTCCGGGACTACCTGTACCTGACCGCAGAGGAGCAGGGGGACAACCAGGAGGGCGTGAAGGGCGAGCATTTTCTGGTTTGGCGGGATCTACCGTACCGGTGATTACAGCAGCTGAAGGCGGTGGCCAAGAAGATGCCGCAGGAAAGCCTCAGGATGTCATTGGTGCCGGGCTTGCAGGACCGGCGTGTGGGGAAGATCTCAAGGAGCCAGCACAGGGGGACACAAGCCCCTCAACACCCTTGGGGCTTTTGGCCCAAGGTATCCAGCAGCTCCAGCAGCTGCAGTTACGCAAGGATGGACAAGACCCTGAGCTGTTGAAGGGGTCGATTGAACTTCCGAAACTGCCTGAGCCCTACCAGGACGCGAGTGCTGTGGCGTTCTTGGAATGGATCTATGAGGCTGGGCAGGCAGTGGGCTCGATCACGGATCGGGCATCTACATGGTGGAGTGCCAACCTCGACCTCGCGATGACGGCCTACCACAAGTTCCAGGCGGAGACCCCGTTGAAGCGGCTGACGATTCAGGCCGGCGAGGACGCCCGGATCGACAACGAGAAGTGGTCCCGTTTGGAGAAACGGGTCATGACACTACTGCTTGCGGCGATGTCCCCCTCCATCAAGGCCGACATCACAATGCTGAGGATCCACCGGGTGAAGGACTGCCTCTTCAAGCTCTACACAATCTTCGCTCCCGGTGGGGCAAGCGAGAGGGCAAGCCTTATCAAGCAGCTCGAGCATATCCCATCTCACGCGAGTGTGGTGGAAACAATAGCTGCCTTGAGGAGATGGAAGAAGCTGATGGGCCGGGCGGCTGAGATGGGTGTGTCGTTGCCCGATGGGAGTGTGCTTCTCATGGCCCTGGAAGGAGCAACTAAGCAGATCACTGAGGGCAACAAGGACATCAGCTTCAAGCTGAACATGGCCAAGAGCGAGCTGGGATTGCCCCACAAGCCAACCCTCTCCAGCGTCCTCGTGTACTCAGACCACATCGCAGCGGAGCTCCAGCAGGTGATCCCCTTCAACAAGGACCAGGCGCCCAAGCTGAAGGCGGTGAACACGGACACAGGATCACCGGTCTCTACGGCAACCTCGCCTTCTGGAAAGGGTCAGGGACAGAAACAGCCCTGCAAGTTCTGGCTCACAGACGAGGGTTGCAGGCGTGGGGCCAGCTGTAAGTATGGACATGTCTTCCAGTCGAAGGAGGATAAGAAGGCCAGATGCTGGACGTGCGGTGCGACGACCCATCGCCAATCGGAGTGTCCTACGAGGTCTGGTGGAAAGAAGGGCAAGAAGGATGGTGGAGGAAACGGACCTAAGGCTGGGACAACATCATCTACTACCTCTACGAATCCAGCTCAGGTCGCAGCCCTTCACAATCCCCAGCCCTCAACAGCTACTTCAACCTCTACGGCTTCGGCAACCAGTGTGACTTTGGAACATCCTGCACAACAAGCCCCGACCTCAACGGCATCTACTACCTTTCCAACCTCAACAGGGACTGTGGGTCCCCAACCACAACAAGCGTCCAGTGGGTCGTCGTCGGCAGCCTCAACTATTCTGTTCCCGGAATCTTCGTCCAGTGGTGAAGTCAGGGAGCTTGCGGAGTAGTTCTTGGCGAAGATCAAGCGATTGGCACCGATGCAGGCGCAGACCGACGAGGCGGTGATGGACCTGGAGCTTTTATTGAGGTCGCAGGGTTTCGAGCAGCACCAAGGCATGGCTTTATTGGATAGCGGGGCATCTCATGCCTACCGTGCCCCGCGCACCGTGGAGGAGACGAAGACTGCCAAGCGTGTCCGAGTGCAGTTGGCTGACGGCCGTGCGGTGTATCTACGACAAAACCCTGGAGGCACTTTGTTGTCGGAGGAGGAGGGTGGCGACACGATCCTCCCGCTGGGCAGCCTTGTGGAGTCCCTGGGCTGTCGCCTCGAATGGACGCGTCGCCATGGATTGCGAGTACATCATCCACGGTACGGCCTTCTTCCCACAAAGCTCATTGGCAACACCCCAGTGCTCCGTGAGGCCGAAGCCCTTCAGCTCATCGCTGACATGGAACAAGTGGAAATGGACAAGCTCGAGGCCAACGTGACGGAGGGAGCGATTCGAACGCTCTCGGTGGACGAGGCTCCAGCAACGTGGTTGGATCACCTCGAGGAGTTTATCAGCAAGGGGGACAGAGCGTGCCTGAGGAGAATGCTCCTGGACGAGGAGTCCCCGGTGAAGGCCCTATCCGAGCAGGAGGTGACTTCCCTCCTAGGTGTGGAGGAGCGGTTACTCTTGTCTGATGATGCGGGTGCTCACTACTTGAAGGCGCTTCCTGTAAATCGGGCCATGCGAAAACGCCTCCTACGGACTCGATGGGTGGTTCACTTGTACAATGGTGATGAACTAGGGCCAGAATTCGCCCGAGCGGAGTCCGACGATGTGACGGTGATCCGGATGGACATGAAGGATTCCAAGGCCTATGATCTTCGGTTCGCCAATGGGGCCGTGCGTGCTCTTATGTGGGCAGCAGCAAGGGGCCAGATCGAAGCTGTACTTGGAGCGCCTCCCCGAGGGTCGGAACACAGCTCGCTCCTCTTCAAGCGGATGATGTTGTTGTGGCTGGTGGCCAACTCTGGTGCAGCCCTTAATGCTTTATGTGCCCCTTCCTTCACTCTGGAGCTGCCGACCTGGCATCACTTCTGGACCAGCTCAGCATGGCTTTCCTTCAGAGACGAATTGAGGTTTCTTAAGTACCACTCGGTGGCTTGTCAGGGCAACTTGTACTTCCTGGCGTCTTCGCTGGAGCTGTCTGATGGCCTTGATGTGGATGAAGCTATGATTCCCACCTTGAACTATGCTACTCCAGCTTCTTCCTGGCCTTCAACCTTCAAACTTGCCTTGGCGCAGGCCTTGCTCAACTGGAGGCGAAGCGACATGAGGCGCCACGAGGCTGTGTTGAGCAAGCTGATTGGGAATCGGGAGTTGAATGCAAAGGACTTGGAGTATTGGCAGCGGCACATCAACAACAACCATCTTCCCTACGACCGTCGATGCAAAACCTGTGTCCGCAGCAGTGGAACTGGCCGTGCTCACCGCAGGTGCCTCACTCCGAGCGCATACTCGCTTTCCCTGGATATTGCTGGACCTATGAGAACAAAGGGGGAGTCACCAGATGGCAAGAAGTACCGGTACCTCTTGGTTGGAGCCTATACGCATCCCAAGCTCGATCTTCCCAAGGATATCCCCTTTCCAGATGATGAGGACGAGGAGATTGAGCCAGAGCTCGACCCGTTCGAGGAGGATGAAGGGGCAGCTGTGCCAGATGAGGAGGAGGATGATGAGCAGAAGGAGATGAACAAGAGGTTCCAGAAGATCTATGAGGGTATCGGTGACAACATCGAGTACCAGACGCTCCACTTTGCGGTTCCCATGAACACCCGGACATCCAAGGAAGTCCGGTCCAAGATCCAGCAGATTTATCTGCAACTCCGACAACATGGACTACCATTGGTGCGAATCCACTCTGACCGAGGACTGGAGCTCAAGGCCAAGGAGACAAGGGCTTGGATGGCGGACCGCGACATCCTGGCAACAACAGGTGAGAGCCAACAGCCTCAACAAAACGGTCGTGCTGAAGCCCTGGTTCGGACGATCAAGAGGAGGGTGAAAACTTTGTTGCGGTCGGCAGGCCTCCCTATAGCGTGCTGGCCCTCAGCGGCGGAGTTTGCAGCGAGAAGGCAAAGGGATTTGGCCCTTGGGAACTATGAGGACAAGGATCTACCCTATGGTGCCCCTACGCACGTGAAGTACAAGCGTTTCGGAGAAGGAGGCCGCTACGACCTCTTGGAGCGATGGAAGGAGGGAGTCTTTGTTGGCTACTCCAACGATGTATCGCTAGGGAGGGTTGTGAGACACAGCGATGGTTCGTACACAACCTCTGTACACATCCGCCCCTACCTCATCGACACCGAGGACCTGGTCGAGTTTGGACCTCACGAGGTGGAAGTTCCAGTCCCGGAGAGGCGCGTTCGAGGGAAGGCCTCGGTCGCCCAGCTTCTACAGGATCCTATCAATGATCTGGACAGAGCAGCGAAGAAGTACATTGATGAGGGCAAGTACGATTTGGAAACAGTCGTGGAGCTGTGGGAAATGCTGAGATCAAGGGCCCGGCGAACTACCCGAAACACCCAAGGCGAAGGACTTCAATGGATGGTGGGCCAGTATACGCATGGAGGCCAGTGTGGTGTGGTCAATGACACCAATGCCTATCCGTTTGTGACCCTCTACCTAGTGAAGGCCTTCAAGGAGCTGACGGGCGTCAACGATTTCACCTCGCTTCTCATCACTGAGGATGTGGGAATGAAATGCCACCGGGATGTTCACAACTATGTTGGACGATCCAACGTGTTACTTCCTCTACTACCATGTGAAGATGGAGGTGGTGTGTGGCTGGAAGCGGACCCCGGATCCTACAGCTTCCAAGATGAGTGGCGACAACTACCAAACCGGGGATGGAGACGAGGGCGGGTACACGAACTACAACCTGGAGTTCCTGTCGTTATCAATCCTCGAAGATACCATGCAACCGAGCCCTGGAGAGGACGACGGCTGGTGATGACCACATATACTCCAAGAACTTCTTCTATGAGGCAGCCGACCTACGAGGCCCTAAGGGAATACGGGTTTGAACCACCTCCTCTACCACCTCAAGTGCCTGAACATCTACAGCAAGCTGTCCTCCGGATGCTGAGTGTGGACCCCGTGAAGGACCCGGATGTCAACGAGGCGATCCTCTTCCTGGTAAAGGAAGCCGAAGGGGAGAGGCGCCAACGAACTCAGCAGATCAGTGAGGAACTTCAACAACTACAAGAGGATGTTTTGGGGCGTCTGAAGGAGAGGAGGGAATGGTTACAAGAGTTCTTGGCTGAGGAGGAGATCCTGGCGGAGGAGATTGGTGTTGTGGGAGAAGCCATCAACGAGGAGATCATGGGCATCAACGACCTGGTCAGGGACTTGATCCAGGATGTGGAGAAGCAGGTCACGGAGGTGGAAAGGAAATGCGAGAGCCTCTACCTAAGGGTGGCCAACGTCGATGATGACAAGGAGATTGGAGACATTGAAGAGTACCTGGCCAACCTCAAGAAGGACCTGGAAGTGACGCTGGATGTCCCGCTCGATCAGGTCAAGCACAACTTGGACCGGTGGGTGGAGCCGATGGCCAAGGAGCTAGCGAACCTCGAAGAGAAGACGGGTGCCATCGAGCGATGGTCAATTGCCGAGGCCCGCAAGCTGGAGAGCGAAGGGCGACTTATCCTTATTCCAGGAAAGGTCGTCTGCACAGTTAAGCCCCCAGCACCTCTGGGTCCAGGTTCCCCGCCGAGTACAACGCCGCGCTGGAAACGAAAGGCTCGGGTGGTGATTTGTGGAAACCTGGCGGGCCAATTGCACGACCCGAACGACCTCTTCGCGGCGGGAGCAAGTGTGGAAGGTTTGCGCTTGGCGCTGGCCATTGCGGTGTCTATGGGCTGGTGTGTTGCTTCAACGGATGTTTCTGCTGCCTTCCTTCAGGCGAAATGGCCACGAGACAGGCCCACCTATGGTGTCCTGCCGCCGAAGGTTCTTCAGCAAGCTGGACTAGTGGAACATGGCGTGGTGTTCATTGTCCGAAGGGCGTTGTATGGTTTGCGGGAAAGCCCCGCCTTGTGGGCGGCACACCGGACCGAGGTCCTCGAGAAGCTCTCGGTGGATACAAAGGAGGGAAGAGTCTTCTTGAAGCAGATGACCACGGACAGTGAGCTGTGGATGATCTTGTTGGAGCCTACCCAGGGTGCCAAACCGATCTTGCGAGGCATCCTTGTGACCTATGTGGACGACCTCCTCTACTTGGCGGCAAGGGACATTATCACCAGCCTCCACGAGAAGATTGGCTCTATTTGGCCGTGTTCCGAACTGGAGTTTGCAACGGAGGGTCTGAGGTACCTTGGCATGGAGCTGGTTCAGGAGGAGTCTGCAGTGACCCTTTCTCAAGAGGCCTATGTGGACAACCTGGTGAGATTACATGGGCTGGACCCGCAGTCCAAATCGGGCCTGCCGTGTCCTAAAGAGTGGCTTCAAGATGAAGACTTCAACGATGTTGCTGAGAACTTCGATGAGGAGGAGCTAAGACGAGCACAGAAGGTCACAGGCGAATGCCTGTGGCTGGCCTACCGTACTCGCCCTGACATCCTGTTCGTGACGAACTACATGGCCGCGATGACCTCCAAGAAGCCAGTGAAGGTTTACGATGTGGGCTTGAAAGTGATCGCTTACCTGAACTCAACCTCCACGTTGAAGTTGAGAGTGGCTGCCAAGGCAGAGCAACAGCCAACGCGGTCCACAGAGTCCACAGAGCCCACGCAGTCCACA